GCCTCGGGGGCCGGGAGGCGAGGAGCACGAGCGGCGGCGTCGAGCTTGCCACGACCACGGCGCGCGGGACAGGCAGACGCCCCTCGTCATCCCAGCCCCCTGCAGTGGAGGCCCCTACCAAGAGACACCCTTCTTGCCTCCAGGGTGCTCTGGTTTTCCTGGGTTTCGACGCTGCTCTTGCCATGGAGAGCGCGACGTTCCCGCACCAAACATCCATGGACGCCCTGGGGTCTCAGGGTTCGGTCTCTTGTGGAAGGTTTCCTGTGGTCGGGCCCCCTACTGTGATCACAGCGTTCAGGACAGGCAAACGTCATCCTAGCCATCCACTGTCTTCACCGTTTTCCGCACACGGGCGCCCCTCCTCCTCCTCCTCCTCCTCCTCCTCCTCCCTTCCTCCTCCTCCTGTTCCTCCTCCTCCTCCTCCTCCTCCTCCTCCTATTCCTCCTCCTATTCCTCCTCCTCCTCCTCCTTATCCTCCTCCTCCTCCTCCTCCTCCTTCTCCTCCTCCTCCTCCTCCTCCTCCTCCTCCCTCTACCCCACCCCCCCACTTTCGCAGGTGCTGCTCTCCCCTCTCCCTCCTGTTCGGGTCCGGCGGCGCTGCCGCCTCTCTCGCACGGTGAGCCTGCTCGCGCGCAGGACGTCACCACCAGAGGTTTTGCGTGCGTCCTCGGCATGGACTCTCTCCGGGCGCACGGTTTGGGGACGAGGGCGAGAGCCCGGGGGGGGGGCCAGGCCGAACACCACCGGGGACGAGGACGGGAGCCGGGGGGCCAACGCATCGACCCCCTTTGTATAAGGAGGGGGAAAAACAGACAGACACAATTAATCCTCGATTCCCCAGGAAATATGGGAACGTATGGGAAGTGGGGGGGAAGACAGCCATGCAGAAAATATGGGGAACATAGGGGGAATATCTCTTCATTTGTGTGCATTTCTTTGTGTGTCCTGGGGCCCGTTCCTTGTAGCCGCCCACGGATCGCCGACGGGGGCCTGCTGGCCCGCCCTGCCCCAGGGCCAGGGCCGTGCGGATTCGCGCTCGTCGGGGGTGGGCAGAACTTGGCGTCGCTCGGACGTGTGCATTTTTTTCTTCGGCGAGGACCGGCACGGCACGGCACGGCACGGCACGGCACGGCACGGCACGGCACGGCACTGCGAGGCGAGGCTGCACTGCACGGCAGGCTCGCGCCTGGCAGGGGTGCGGCGCCGGCGCGGCGGCGCTCCCCGCCCCTTCCCCTGGCATCGCTCGGACGTGTGCATTTTTCCTTCGGCGAGGACCATCGAGGAGCATCCTTGATCATTTGGCGAAAACGCCACGCACGAAACCGACAAAAGCACAGGGGATGGACGTCCGAGCGATGGCCAGAGAAGCCCCACCCCGACGCGTCGGTTCGTGAACTGTCCGTTTTCGGTCCTCGAGTGGGCGCCGCGGCCGTCGTGTTCCAGGCCTGCGCCCGCGAGATGTGGCGGCCCGAGGTCGCCGTCACTTAGACCACGTCCAGCCCCGACTGCGCATGTTCCGCTCGGTTTCTTGGGTCGTCCCGACGGGCGTTCATGCCTCGGCAGCTGCCGCAGTCCTGCCCCGCCCCCACCCCCCCTCACAGTTGCCGAACATGACTGCTGCTCTCCTCTCTCCCCTGATCCTGCCCCGCGTCTGCGGCCACTTGCAGACCCTGCCCTTGCTGGTCCACTCGACGCTGGGGCATCAGACATGCCCGCCGGGGGGGCCACTTGGTCGCAGACACCCTTCAAGTTCTGAGCCCCGGCCGGTTTTGCCGAATCCTGACCTGCAGGGGTAGGCACCAGATGCGACTGCCCGAGACGGGGTCCGAGCAGAGAAGGTCGGCGGAGCGCGCCACGTCCTCAAGGCATCGCGGCGATGCGGCTCCACGCGCGGCCCCATCTTCTCCGCGCTGCTGTCGCTGACGCGTTGCCGACGTCGCCCGTGCACCGGCGTTGCCTCGGCGATGCAGCGCGATTCCCTGGCCCCCGACTCCGTGCACGGGCGACGCGGCTGGATGCAGAGACCGATCTTCTCCGCGGTGACGTCTCGCCACGCCGTCGGCGACGCGGCGCGACCCTCCGCCGCCGCCTCCCTCCGAGGCGGGGACGTCTGCATGACCGCCGCCTGGAGGCTTGATGTTCAGAGACCTCGAGGGGCGGGGGGCACGGATGTGCTCGGGCCCCCGGGGGGCCAGAATTTGTCAAGGGGCCCAGGGACACACAAATAGATACACACAGATAAAAGGATTCCCCATATTTTCCCATATTTTCTTGGTTTTCGTCTTCCCCCCATTTCCCATATCTTCCCATATTCTCCTGGGAGTGGACGATTAATTGTGTCTGTGTGTTGTTTCCCCTCCTGAATCTGTTCAGGTCCACCGCCCGTCGAGCTGCCTCGCGCATCCTGCCCTTGCCGCGCGCGCGCGCGGCTCCGGCATCGTCATGCTCCGCGTGCGCTCGCCCCCGCCCCGGCCGGTGGAGCGCCTGGGCGTCGGGGCGTGCTGGGTTTTTGAATCGGGCGTGTCCCCCTGCAGGAAGAAAACTTAAAAGTAGTAGGAGAATCGTCAGGGGATGTTTTTTCTACCATGCTTGAATATGTGTTGTGTATTCTTTGTGTGTGTGTGTTTCAATTTGTCGCTCAAAATCTGCCTGTAGGAGGACATACCCGACCTAGTGCTTGGTTTAAGTCGGGCCCGTCCCTCTACAGGAGGAATCTTCACAAAAACAGGAAAGTCTCTGCGGGCGCGCCCTCCAGACAACATGGGCCGGCACTCCCGCGCCTCCGTTGGGCGAAATGGGGGGCCAGGCGCCGCCAGACGGGACCCGACTGGAATCCACCAAGGGCCCGTCCGGCAGGAGCGCCAGCCCAGGAAACAACGCAGGGTGGACGAGGGATGGTTTCGAGCACAGCGCCAGTGACGAGGAGCAGCGGTAATTAACGCAGCAACGAGGATTAGAATCTGAGCGCTTCTCCGTCCTGGGGAAGGTCTCCGTCCTGCGGAGAAGCTCCCCATCCTGCGGTGTGGCGTTCCCGACCTTTGGGAAGTCTTCCCCGCCTGTGGAAATTCTTGCTTCGTCCTACAGAGGCTGCTTCCCGTGCTGCTGGTGATAAGCAGCATCAACCAACTTACCAGGCGGGGGCGAGCCCATGGCGACGCACCCACGCACCTGCGTTGCGCATAGCGCCAAGCCAACCAACCAACCGAAGGGCAGAGGGACGAGGACTTACCTGCTGCAGCGCAGCACTCGGCTGAGAACAGAAAGGCCCAGTGACAAACAATAGACTTTAGACAAAACCAAGAAGCCATGTCTTCGAGCAAAAAACAATAATATCTATGACAATCAATGATTTTGGCCTCTTGGGAGGCCTCTTCGAAGCCTCCTGGGGCGTCTTGGAGGCATCTTGGGCCGTCTGGAGGCCATCTCGGGCGTCTTGGGACGATGTTTCGGCGACTCGTGGCCCTCTTGGACCGTCTTGGAGGTCTCTCGGGGCCCTCGTGGCCCGTTTTGAGGCCTTCGATGCCCCCCTGGCAGCATTTCTGGAGCAAAGTACCCCCCCCCCCCCCTGGCCGGCCCAGTCAGACCCCCCCCTGGCCATCCAAATCGAACGGACGGGGCTCCCGGAGGAGGGGTTTGTGGAGGGGGGGGGCATCTCACACACCGATGAACCCCAAGGGGCCGGCGGATCTTTACCCTTGCTTTGTGTCATTTGACCCTCCATTTGTCCCGTTTCTGTTCCGTTCCAGTCTACCTTCTTTCCGTTCCGTTTAGCCCTGTTTTTTTTTCTGTTTTGTTTATTTATTTTACGATGTTTCTGCCATCATGTGTTGTTTTTCCTCCGTCCCGTTTTACATTCCCTCCATTCCGTTTTGTTTTGATATGTTCCAAAAATGTAAGTATTTCCGTTTCGTTTTGTTACGTTACCGTGTTCCGTTTGTTTTTTATTATTCGTCGGTTCCGTGTAATGGTATTTCCGTTTTTGTCTTGTTTTCCTTCAGGTATGTGATTGATTTTCCGTTCCGTTGATTTTTTATTTTTTGTTCATGTTCTGTCCATTTCGTGTTGGTTTTCCGGTTTTCTGTTTCACCATTCCATGTTTTTAGTTCGTTGTATGTGTTTGGTAGTTTCGTTTGTGTTTCCCCTTTCCGTTTCATGTGTTGGGTTTCGTTTTTCTGTTGTTGTATACAATCGATATTCCGTTCAGTCTCGTTATTTTTCCGTTCCGTTTTTTCTTGCGTTCGTTCCGTTTCAGTTTCCCGTTGTTCCGCATATGTTTCTGTCCGTTTTCTCCATAGTTTAAGGATGATGTGTTTTATCACCCGTATCCAAGAATGAGGTTATTGTTCCCCATATCTATGGGATGGGTTCTTGTTATTTCTCCGACCGCACCGAGGCGGAACACTCCGCCCATTCACATACCTCCTTCTCTTTCCCCACCCAGAGTCACATTGATATGTGATGCTTGTTCTGCCATGTTACGTTATGTCATGTCATGTTAATTTATAGTATGGTTCGGTATTTTGTGTTATGTTGTGCTATTACCCATATACGAAGGATTGGGATTATGTTACTCTCCATATCTGGAGGATGGGGCTCAAGTTATTTCCATATCCATAGAATTGGACTATTGCTTCCAATGTCCAAAGGATGGGGTTTTTGATATTAGTGCGATCTCCCAACTTTTTCACGCTCACTCCGCCTATTCCTCCTCCGCTTCCTCTTATTATTGTATGGCTTGTTATGTTATGCCACGGTGTTGTATGCTATGGTATGACATGTACGGCATGCCATTATATGCTACGGTATTATGACCATGATATGGTGTGATAGGTTGTCATGCTATGCTACGCCATGCTATGCTATGGTATGAACCGTTATGTTGCGATGATGATGATTATAATGATGATGCTGATGATGATGACGATGATGATGATGATGGCGGTGATGGTGATGCTGATGGTGATGAAGATGATACTTGTGGTGATGATGATGCTGCGGAT